TTTTTTTCCTTGGTGTGTGTGTGTGTGTGTGTGTGTGTGTGTGTGTGTGTGTGTGTGTTACTGGCAGTTTCCCTCAAATGTGTGACTGTCTGTTCATATTTCAGAATGAGGCATTACAGCCTGGGTAACATAGAAAGACCCCATCTCTATAAAAAAAAAATACAAAAAATTAGCTGTGCATGGTGGCATGTACCTGTAGTCTCAGTTACTCGGGAGGCTGAAGTGGTAGGATCACATGAGCCCAGGAGTTTGAGGCTACAGTGAGCTCTGATTGTGCTACTACTGCACTCCACCTCCAGATGGAACAAGACCCTGTCTATTTAAGAAAATAAAAAATTAGGCATTAAGCAGAATGAATTAGAAACTCAGTGTGCATGGATAGGGCTTGTTGATTGATGGACTTCATGTTATGGTGACTAGAGCAAGTAGGATTTTTTTTTGAGTCAGAGTCTCACTTTGTTGCCCAGGCTGAGTACAATGGCACGCTCACGGCCACCCCGGTGTCGACCTGCTGGACTCATGCAATCCTTCCATCTTAGCCTTCCGAGTAGCTGGAACTACAGGCATGTGCACCACACCCAGCTAATTTTTTGATTTATTGTAGAGACGAGGTCTCGCCAAATTGCCCGGGCTGGTCTTGAACCCGTGGGCTCAGGCAATCCTCTCCCCTCCGCCTTCCAAAGTGCTGGGATTACAGCATGAGCCACCACACCTGATGCAAGTAGGATTTTTTTATTGGGTACCCCCAAATGTCAGAATCTGTAGATCACATTAAAGGGACCATTTGGTTTCTCCAGAGAATTCTCCAGTCTATCTGGTGGATATTTACACGGCCACCACCGTAGAGGTTACAGCAGCAGGGCAGGGGGGATAGGGTTGCGGGCCAGCGTTCAGCAGGCATGTTTTCACCCAGTCCCTTTGTGTTTCCGCTTTCAGTTATGCCTGGTATCCCTAAATTGGTGCTTCTCAGATTCAATTAGAGGATTCAAGAGAATAAACCCGCTGGTATCCCGCAGTTGTTGTTACCAGGCTAAAAAAGTGTTAGGGAAGGGATTTGTAAGTTTAACTGCTTCATATACAGACTTCTAAACAATTTCCCTGTTTTCAACTCCATGCCTTTCTCCTTTCATCTGAGGTATTTGGTTCCTCCAATTCCTGAACTTTTTGGGAGATAAAGTGAATTGTTACATCTTTTGTTTAAATTCTCCTCTTTAGGCTGGGTGCAGTGGCTCATGCCTATAAACCCAGCACTTTGGGAGGCCGAAGCAGGAGGATCTCTTGAGGCCAGGAGTTCGAGACCAGCCTGGGCTTCCCCCACTCTGCCAAGTTAGTTCCCACTATGTCTCCAGAAGTTTTTTTATTTTTATTTTTTGTTTTTTGTTTTTTTTTTTTGAGTTGGAGTCTCACTCTGTCGCCCAGACTGGAGTGCAGTGGCCGCTCCCGGCCACCGCAGCCTCGGCCCGCTGGGCTCCGGCGATCCTTCCACCTCAGCCTTCCGAGTAGCCGGAATTACAGGTATGCGCCACCACGCCCAGCTGATTTTTTTGATTTATTGTAGAGATGAGGTCTCGCTGCCCAGGCGTTTTTTTATTTTTAAATAGAGATGGGTTCTTGCTATGTTGCCTGGGCTGGTCTTAAACTCCTGGACTCAAGCAGTCCTCTCACCTCAGCCTCTCAAAGTGCTGGGACCACAGGCATGAGTCACTGAGCCTGGCTTCCAAAAGTTTTTGAATCTTTTATTCCACTGTCGTCTCCTATCCTGTTTGTCTTTGTAACTTTATACCATTTTTATTCCTTTATTTTCATCTTAGTGGGGACTTGAAGATAAATGCAGTCTGCCATGTTTGACAGAAAGTTTCATCCATTACATTTTGATTGTTCTTAATTGAATTATCAAAGAGTATCTCTAATTTTCCTTGAGGGTATCTTGCTCTTTTCGTTATAAATTTTTCATGTGACAGTGGTTAGCACAGTGAGCAAATAAACGATATGCTGTCTTCCTACTACAGTGCACAACAAACCATATCATGTTCCTTATTATAAACAGGCTGTGATTTCTCCTGTCTTAAAAAATATTAGCTGGGTGCGGTGGCTCATGCCTGTAATCTCAGCACTTTGGGAGGCAGAGGCGAGAGGATTGACCGAGCTCGGAGGTTCGAGACCAGCCTGGTCAAGACCTTGTCTCTACAACAAATCAAAAATTACCCTGGCATGGTGGCACATGCCAGGGGTTCCAGCTACTTGGAAGGCTGAGGTGGAAGGAGCGCCTGAGCCCAGCAGGTCGAGGCTGCGGTGGCCGTGAGTGTGCCACTGCACTCCAGCCTAGGTGGCAGAGTGAGACTCCAACTCAAAAAAAAA